CTCAGGGGGACAGAGGTTGCCACAGGCCAGCATATCTTTATTTAGCAATTCTCCTGCAAGTCCTGAAGCCAGGTTCTACGGTGGGAACGGGGAGGTGGGTTGGCATCATTTGTATCTTTCAGATTACACACCTTTAAAGCCAGTGCATGGAGACTCCCCTAAATTTCACTGTGTCTAGTGACACTTCTGCAAATGAAGACTTCTGAAAAACCTTCCAGCAGTGATACTTAGAGTGAGCCTTCCCCGAATATACCTCAGCATCATTAGCCTCTCTTACTCTATAGACTGAGGTTTGGAAGAAATAAATGGGGAACTGTGTATTTAAATTCTGCCCTCTTGCACATTTATTAACTTTACAGAGAGCCCAGAGCAGAAAGAAAGGTTGGCTTATGGCTATAATGCCATGAATAGTAAATACCCCACTGATTATTACCGTCTGAGGTACACATATACTATTTATAGTGCTCCTACTGCCGGGAAGTTGATAACCAACAATCAAGACATTATAAAAACATTTTTCTCTATTGCAGCTGCCTACATGAAATTAACACCACCGATCAATTTAAACAAGGAGCCAGTAAATTCTTTCAAAGTGAACTTTTTCTCCCTCATCTCTCAAAAACATCCAGATTCCACAAGCAAAAGCACAAAATGTGAAGACAAAAAGACCACATGGATTTTCCTTGTCTCTGTCTTCTTGGACAATGACAATGCGAGGCATATTTATTTTAAAGCAATCATTTAGAATAATAAAAAAGAGGGATCTTACCTTTGTTTACAAGAACAGTGTTGAAAAGTTTTTCAGAGCTAGCATCTGATGCCTGAAAAACAAGAAGGAATTAAGACTGTCAGTGACGACCATCACCCACAGCATCAAGGTTGCTATGATTTTCAATCTATTGGCAATATTTTAGGAAAATATAGTAAGAGTCAGTAATTTCCCCAAGTCCTCCATAAGGTGGTGCTGGTTGACTGTTGGAGAAAGGCCTGCACTGCAGCTATTTATTGGGGGAAAGAAGAAAAAAAAATCTGATTTCCAAAATGTGTCCTTATTAGACATATTATCTGTGCAAAACATATTTCTATGAAATGGTCCACAAGGCAATTTAGTTCATTCACAAATGATTTTCCAATTCCGTTGACAGATCATTATTTTGGAAATGGCTATTTTTTTTTTGCTACCAGATTTTCTGTTTTTTTTTTTTTCATTTTCTTCCACAAATCATAAATGTATATTTTTGGACATTAAGCCTTTCTTCACTAATGGGTCAACCAGCATACCCCAAATTAATTTGTTTTAAAGATGTATTTGATGACCCCGATGTTCAGGGTTTCTCACAGTAACCAGGCCAACGTCAGTGTTTCAGATGAGGGCTGAGCCTACTGAAAACCTGGCTACCATGCCACCAGGATTACTTCCTTTTCATGTTTTTCAGAGATCATGTCTGCTAATTATTATACTGGCATGAGGGAAGTTAATAGCCTGTTCAAATAGCAAAACTGAAGTCAATTTACATCATACACTAATGTTCTGAGACATAAGCAGTGAGTCCTTTTCTCGAAAGAGAAAATATGGACGATTTACTGCTCATTTTTAGGACTTAGAAAAAAAGGTAAAATTAAGCAAGCTCACCCTGCTGATTTGAGGACACCTCTTTGAAATGTCAGTGGTCAACCTACATTCATACTGGGTTTAATCTGTAACCCTTATGAGAAAACTATCTTTCATGTTTTATACAGAAATGAATAAATTTGATAAAGTAAGGCACAGGATGCTCCATAAATACAGGAGAAAGAAATATGAGAATTGGGGTGAGAGAGTGTGGGCTGGCTTTGGGGGACAAAGAAGATATTCTATGTAGTCTTTCAATGCTACATTGACGGAGATAAAATATTTCTGTGTATAACCGAAGGAAATGTTCCAGTTCACAAGGCCAGGGATATAAAAAGACCTAGCCTATTTTTATTATGGCTGGTTCTCATTTATTTTAATTCTAATTTTCCTTCTACAGGGGTGGGTTCTGAGGATTAATAGGATCAAGGGCAAAAATGTACAAAATAAGTATTCAATTGCATTCACTTGTGAAAAACTGTATGCCCACAGGCACGTGCGAGTGCGTACACACACACACACACACACACACACACACACACACACACACACACACACACTTTTGAAGAAAGAACAGGATACACACATAGCTTTCCTGACATAGTAAGAAACACTAAACAAAATTGTATTATGTTATAGCAGCATTTCATAAAAGTGAGCCACAAAGAAAGTCTTGTGAAGGGTAGTCAGCATCAAATAGTCCAAGCATATTAAGTTACCAAGCCCCAGCG